ACAAACGGTAACAAATTGCACTGCTTCCAATTCATGCAGGCTTCTCCAGAGAAATGGATGATGATGTATCTTAAATGAGGTAGCAGATAGAAAATTGTTATCTTGGTAACACAAATTGAAGTAAGTTCTGAATTCTCCATTCTTAATTATCTTCCCTTCATTGTTCTAAATATGGTATTAAAAACAGCCTCTAAGGCAGTTGGTTGCCATCTCTGTCTCCTCTTAAGACTCCTCTAGCCAAGCTCATTGACCTCGTCTGATACGCAAAGCCTGGTAGCCTATAATTCTGCTTCATCTCCTTCTGCTTACTTACCTAACCATTAAACTAAGCTGTAGGCTTTTGAATAGCTCTTCCATAAGAAATGTTAATCAAATATTTATATAAAGTAGGTAGTCATTTTGTGAAGAGGTTGCTAAGTGAAACCGTGACTGTGCTTCAGTTTTCCTTTGATTTACAGACTTGCAAAGGTCTAAATTCAAGGACTGGCCACAAGCTTATTTCTTCATCACTGTCATAACTGTGAACAGTCCCTAAAGAAGACAGTTGCTAAATGAAGACTACCTGCAGTGGATCTCACATCTAGCATTTTTCACTCAGAGTTCCAATGTCCACACATGAAACTAATTGGTTATTCTCTAAAAAACAGATTTTTGAGCTTCCGGGATCATTTATTCATTAATTATCCAACAGAAAGTCCCTTTGCACAATGCAGTGTAGGGATATACTCAGAGTACCCTCATTTCTATTAGTTCATTTGTTTATTTTCATTCTTACCAAGCTTGAAAACAGATGCTTCCAGGAAGCACAAAACAAATCTCCAGAGGAGCAATATTATGGATGCAAAAAAGAAATCTCATCAGTGTGGCCCACCCCATAAGCCAGTGGTGGCGAACCTATGGCACGGGTGCCAGAGGCGGCACTTAGAGCCCTCTCTGTGGGCACGTGCGCCGTCGCCCCAGTCCTAGGCCTTCAGCTGGGTTTTATAAAACCTTTTCGCTTTAGGCCTCCGCCACCGTGTGCAAAAAAAAAAAAAAAGGTTCAATCAGTCAATTTCAACTTCTCGCGGAAAAAAAAAAGATCTTGCAAAGTTGGAATTGATTGATTGAACTTTTTAGTCCCACCCAGTCTGCCGTTACCACCACAGCCACGCCCACCCAATAGGCCACGCCCAGCCAATGGGCCACACCCACCCGGCACTCGACGATGCATAAGTGGGTTTTGGGTTGCACTTTGGGCACTCGGTCTCTAAAAGGTTCGCCATCACTGCCATAAGCTATCCAATTTCCTGAAGCAATAACAGTTCCCTCTCTTCTATCTCATAAAAAGGGAAATAATATAATTTGTTACAGTTCTTTCATTCCTGTCCATATTTTTAGCTCACATTTGTTGAAAGTTTCTTTTAAAACAAACATTGATTGATTGCTCTGCGGAAAGGGTTATCAGCACCAAAGACATTTTTTTTCTCTTGCATTTAATGATGCAAGGCTTTTGAAAATTAATGACTGAGAAAATATTTTCCTCAGCACTTCTAACCATGCTTGCACGTTATTTGTAGCAGCTAGTGCAGAAAAGGGGGGAGATTCCTTTTAAACAAGGCCTCTAGGGCAGTGTTTCTCAACCTTGACGATTTTAAGGCATGTGGACTTCAACTCCCAGAATTCCACAGCCAGCATTGCTGGCTGTGGAATTCTGGGAGTTGAAGTCCACATTGCCTTAAAATTGTCAAGGTTGAGAAACACTGCTCTAGGGTGTTATCAAGAAGCAGATGCTGAAGCTGAAGGCAGGTGATAAGAGGGAAGCACAAGTTCTGTACATTTCTCCAGAATATTAATGAATCAATCTCCAGAATATAATGGATATAAAATAGAGTACGATCATTGTTCTACCACCATTCTTGCTTGGTAAAAAGGATATGGCTCGGTCCAGATATTATAATTCATGATAAAAGAAGGTGCCTGATAGTTTTTGAAGTATTTTTTTAAGTTTAAGACCGATTTTCATTTGTTCATACACTTAAAGGAGCCTACAACCACTATAGTTGTAGCCAATTGTGTATGTCTCAAAAAACACTGGCATCCAATATATCTAATAATGTACTACCACATATGCTTTAAGTATCATTTGCATGAAATAATTTCAATTTGCAGATTTTATGAAAGCATATAGGGAAGAAAAGTAAGCATTCAGATCCTGAAATATATAATAATATTTGACCCACATTTTTATATCTTTAAACAATTTATAATTAGAAAGACAAGACCCGAGACTGTCTCTGAAATTGTATTTCCTCCAAACTATAACAATTTATACAGCTTTTAACAGACCGAAACTACAGTTCTCCATGACAATAAAAACATAAAATATAGACTGTAGAATTGAAAGCAGAAATGCTACTTAAACCTAATTACAAGTGTTGAGAGTTTCTTAAATGAAAATATAAAATTTATATCTACACTAAACACAGGTCTGAAAGGATATAAATGCTTTTCTTTAAAACAGGTCATTCTTTCCAACATAGTAGTCTGAACTTGATAATGGCTCATCAAACTCACTTTACCTGCTTCTTGGGAAGAATAATTAACAAATCAGCTTTACAGTATGATTTTAAGTTCCTTTGATAACTGAAAAGTTTATTGTGCTGTAAAATTTCTCAGGAAAGCATGCACATGAATTGTAGCTTGTACTCCAAATACATTCACACTTCATTAAAATTGAGGTGGTTGGTAGGGTCTGGGCTATTCACACAAACCCTAACCCTAACCTCAAACACCATGGTTATGTTCCAATAAATGTTTATGAGAGTTAACCCTTTTGAATGTGGTCTTCCTTGATTCGATTTTTAATGCTACTGTCTTCTAACAGATAGATAAGATTTATTTGGTTTTGGCTTACAATTAATAAGCCAGTCAAGTGTGGTTTATTCATTAAACCACGATTTAACAAACAAAAGCTTAGCACAATGGGCAAACTATTCTTAAGATCTTGGGGGGGGGGAAATCTCTCTGGATTTTGTACTCAAAAGTTTTTTTTATGCAGTTGATCTATCCCTGGAATGCCCTTCCCATTTGAGCAGTAATTAAAGCTCAGTTGTCCAAGCAGTTTAAAATGTCATGCTGGTTTGATCTGTTATTTTTATGTTCTTCATTTAATTTATGATATAACTCTATAAATGTACAATATTATATTGAAACATATTTGGATTATATTTCACATATCATATACTCATGCCTTAAGACAGGAAAGGTTAAATTGATACTTTTTCAATTGCCTGGACAAGTCCTTCCAGTTTTCTTGGCAAGGATTTTCAGAAGTGACAGAGTGACCCAAAGTCACCCAGCTGTCTTCATGCCTAAGTCAGGATTGGAACTCAAGGTCTCCCAGTTTCTACTCTGGTGCCTCAGCAAACTGGTTCTCTCTTATAAACAGAAATCCCTGAGAATTAAGATTATCCAAGGAGGGAAAAAGCAACAAAAATTAGAACCCAAATCCTTTGAGAACTAAAACCCACTTCATCGTATGTACGATTTTCAGCAAATGTCCATAACCATCTTAACCCTACATGAGATGGAAAAAACAAACACATCCATCTTTCGAATACGTTTTAATGAACCAAACCCCAGGACCGGTGTTAGGCGTTCCTTTCCAGACCTCGGACATCGGGTCCAAGGCGTCCTCCTTTGCCAAAAGGGAGCATAGCTTCCTGCAAGCGACGCGGCCGATTCGCTTCCCCCGCCGACGCCTCTGCTCCAGCCCTTCCAACGCCCTCCTTCCTTTGCAAAGCTCTCCGGCGATCTTCCCATTATTATTACCCCGATGGGTCCAGCCTCCCCTCTGCTCGGAGGTTGCGCCTGGGACCCGGGCGATGATGGGGAGCGCCCCAACCCGCATCAAGAACGGCCACTGTGTAGCCGGGCGGCCACGTGACTCTCCCCGAGTCACGCCCGGACGTCACGGAAAGACCACTCCGCTTCTCTGCCCCCTCCCTCCCTCCCTCAGCTCCGCCCAAGCCCAAGCCCGTTCACCGTGAGGAGGGGGCTTTGTGGCGAGGCGGCGGAGCGCGCATGCGTCTGCCTGCCCGGCTGCTTTCTTCCTTTCCTCCCCCCCCCCCGCCTCCCAACCTCCCCCAGCCTATTTGCGGCTGTAGCCGAAACAGGAGGAAGAGCGAGCGCCGAAACGGCAGTCCCGGTTTAGCAGGGCAGCCGCGGAAAAGGGCCGAGGGGGGGGGCTGCTTTGGAACCGAGACGGAAGGAAACGGAGCGGAGCCGGGAGCGAAGGAAGAGCAAGGCGCGCCACACCCAGCTCCGCCGCGTATCTTTCCTGCTGTTGGCGCGCCAGGCTGTTTGGGCAGCCCGCCGGTCTGGAGAGCTGCCGGCCATCTCCCAGCCGCCGCCTCTTCCTCCTCTTCCCAGCTACTGCAGGAAAAGCCCCGCCGCCGCCACCTCCCTCCCCGCCTCCCACTCGGGCGCCTTTTCCCGCCCCCACCGCCTCCGGTTGGAAGGGCAGAGAGCGGGAGAGGGAATCTCTTTCAGCTGGTCGGAGAGCTGCTCCTTTCCAAGAGCGAGGACGGCGCGGGGCAGGCAACCCGCCTGAGGAATCGCCCAAAGTTGCCCTTAATTGGCGTTATTTCCCAATCGGCTTGGAGGATCGAGACAAAGCGCCCGAGGAGAAAGGAGGGAAAGGAAGAGGGGGGGGGAGAGAAAGAGGGCACCCGAGGCTTTCCCACATTCCCATGCAGCGCAAAAAGAGAGGCGGAGAGGGAGATCTCACCCCGTAAAAAAAAAACATCGCCGAGGTCGTCGCGCCCGCCTTTGCTTCTTCTGCAGCAACAAAATCGAGGTCGAAACGTGATTCGGGTTTTTTTTTGACAGATGCCCGTTTTTGCCAGCGCGGCTCCTTCCAGCAGGAGAATCATGTAGATCCCTTGGAAAGGGGGGGGAGGGCGGGGGGGGAGAGGAAGAGGTTCCGCGGGCCGGGGGTGGGGGAGGGAGAGGGAAGAAAAATGGGGGATGCTGCAGACGCCAAGGAAATGAAGAAGACGTTCATTGTCCCAGCCATCAAACCGTTTGATCACTACGATTTCGCCCGAGCAAAGATCGCCTGTAATCTAGCGTGGCTGGTGGCCAAAGCCTTTGGGACAGGTAGGTTGATGCTTCTTGTCAGCGCCTCCATTTCTGCCATTCTGGATTCTGGCTCGGCTTCTTTTACTGCTGCATGTGTGAATCACCCATCCGTTGAAGACACGAATAAATCATTTAAAAAAAAAAAAAAAGGAATTAAGGAAAATAACTCGAAGGTGGTATCGACATGATTAATATGCAATGTTTTATTATAGCTTTGGCTCACTGCTACAATTGCGATTTGTGTTACAGTGCGTGTGGGTTGCCTTCCCATGAATGATTTAAAAAAAACAACCACAAATTGGCTCTTCCATCAGCTTGTATGCAAAAGGGTACTTCCTTTGACCTCTTCCTCCTTAAATAGACACTGTTTTTCCATTTAAATAGGGGAAAAATAAATAAATTGAAAACAAATGTTGAATGGTGTTTTTTTGGCATCTGGGGGTTACGACTAGTAATTCAGATTAGGTGGAACACAGTGGTGTCCTTTCAAAACAATGCTCAGGGTTTTCTCCTTGTCTAATCCATTGGAAGAAGGTTGAAAGAAGTATGAAAAGGGGGAGCGTCTTTTGATTACAATCTAGGCTGTAAAGAGAAGACTAGCCTTTTTCCCACCAAAGGCTTTCAGGGAATATTTACCAAAAATAAAAAAAATGAAGTGACAATATTAACACAGAGAAGGCAACGAACGATAAATAATGGAAATAAATAATGGAGGCGTCTCCCAAAGCTTTACAAGGTGACCATCTGTCATTGTTCAGTCTCCTCTGTTTCGTTATTGTCTAGTATAGAAAATGGGAAAAGAGTATCTTTCTACTTTCAACTCTTCAACTGTTGAATTTAATATATAACGTAACAAGATAACAGTTGTGATTTGTTCCTGACAAAAGGTTAGAAGGTACCTCTCTTAAAATATGTATCCTGTGGGAAGTAGCTGTCACAAATTATCAAGTTAATGTACAAGAGAGTAGCAAGATTTATATTCAATTGTCAGCCTGTCTTTATCTGCACAGGGTTTTTTATTATCTTTCAAGACTTTGTGTTTCCCCTTCTTTTTAATCATTGAATGTTTGTGCTTAAAAATGCTGATGTGCTGGAAATTTAGGACAGTACCTAAATCTCAGAAATGGTACATACTCTTATTATCCACCACATAGGATTTCACTTTGCAGGTACAATCTTGAAAAACATTTTAATTATGCACAGTGGTAATGTTGAAGTAATTATTGTCTGATAAACAAGTGAAACCACATTCCTAAATTTCAGTTCCTGGTCACCAAAAGAGTACAAGTATCAAGTACACAGAAACCAGGTGATGTGGGTGAATGTGTGAACTCTAAGCTACAATCCTGTGTGTTTAAGTCCCATTATGTCCCATTGAGGCATTATGTCTCATCTAAGTCAGTGAATGATTTCCAAGTAAACAGGCACACATGATCAGCTTGGACAAATGTGTAATTTATTCTAAGATAAAGGATTTGGTAAACATGCAAGCAAGATAGTTGACTGTTTTCTGTTTAAAAACTTTACTCTATTGGTCAAAATGCCACTATTCGGAATTATATTTTATAGAGATATTATTTAAACTGTCCATTTGAAAGATAATTTAAGAAAGGATGACAAATAAGTATACGGAGCATGAAACACAGAAGTATATTATTTCTTTGCATGAAGCAAAATTTAGAAAATGATGCAGACACAGAAGACCATTATAACATCTCCTCTTGACTCAGTTACTCTTCACAGAGAGTCATAGGTCTTGTAAACATATGGACTTATTATTCAGGAAAAACAACAGACAATTTACCAAAGTGAAAATGTTGCTTTTGTGTTATGTTTTCATACTACTCCAATTGTTTCATTGTGATTTCTAAAATAACTTGTTGTTTGGTGACATTATTTACTTCATGCTTGAATTGGAACTGCCGCTGATCAAGAAATGCTTGTGATTTGATAGCCTATCAAATTTTTGTAGCCTGTTCAGTTGGAAGCTTTGAAGTTTGCAAGTATAATGGAGAATACATTCAGAAAATGGTTGCTGTGAGCGAACTGCAACATTCTTGTTGCTAAAATGTCAATTGTCTATTATACATTTAATGGAAGGCAAATTAAACAAATTGCTGCCTGCTACCACTTCTAGGTTGTACTCTGCCATCTTCATCTTATTGCTGTCTTTCTTGTAGCCATCTTCCAGGGGGACTGGCTGGTGAACAGAGACTCTATTGAACATGAAGGCAATGCTAGACTCTAGAGCTTTGCAGTGTATCAGCTGTTGTTGAATTTAATGAAATGTAAAAGACTACTTCCCACTATATCACCCAAGTAACACCATCAATGAGGCTGGCTCTCAATATAAAGTAAGGCCTTCTTCATAGAAAGTTAGGATACTTTCCTAGGGAAGTATGGATGGCCCTCATAATGTCTTGTTTTCTTTGACAATTGGCAACATGTTTCTTCTGGGCATTTACCACAACTGCTTCTGACTTCTCTTTAAAATGAATCCTTGCTTTAATCCTTCTCTAGTGGGTGTAGTGTTTTGTTTTATGGGGGCTTGTTTTACTTTTTATTCTTTTGATTAAAATTAGCTTTTTTATTTGTATTCTGCTCTGGGTTCTTTTATGGTGTCAGCGGTGGAGATGTTTGTTGTCATATTAGGAACTATGGCCATCAAGTTACCCACCTTTTGCCTATTTTAATAATTATCTCATCTGAAAATAACTGGCAGATCATGTTTAGCTATTACTGTTGACAGTTTTAGGAATGGTGCGTTGTGTAAATCTAGGTACTCCAGTTTGTTATCATTGCTTTATGGCTTATTATTGTTTGTGAAGCCACCATAAATGCTATTTAAAAAAAACCAGTCCATAGCAGACTCATTAGGATGTATGAATGAATCATTCTTCTAATTTTCTTAGAAGAAAAAGCTCTTGGAATTATGTATGTGTATCTCTCTGTCATTGTGCTGAAACTACATTCTTTACAATAGGGTTCTCAAACATAACATTCAATGGGGTTCTTTGCCCCTAGAAGATTGCTACCAGTATTTCACCTCTTTTATTATCTTTATAAAGCAAAAAGACTGAGAATCTTAGGATTCATTAATACATCACAACAAACTATGATTTCTTCAACTACGGTTTCTTATATAGGGCCTTAATTAAGTGAATATATACAAACCACAGTGGCTGGATTCAGAAAATTCAGTTAAGTAAAAAGCAGCCTAACTACCTTATGGTATAATGCAAGGCATAAATAAATTTCATCAGTGTTTAATATTGCAGCAGTCCTCAACCTTTTTAGCACCAGGGACTGGTTTCGTGGAAGACGATTTTTCTACAAATGGGGAGGGGGGAGGAGAAGTGCACAACCTAGATCCCTCAGATGCACAACTTAGAGTTGGGTTCACTGTGTAGCCCAGTTCCTAACAGGCCACAGACTGATACTGGCCCAGGGCCTGAGGATTGGGGAATCCCTGTAATATTGCATGCGGGGGTCATCAACATATGAAATCCAATGCCCTATCAGTTTAGGCCAGCGGTTCTCAACCTATGGGTCGCGACCCCATTTGGGGTCGATCGACCATTTCACGGGGGTCGCCAAGCAAGGCTGTCCGCCATTTTTTTTGTCTGCCATTTTTTTTTGTCCACCATTTTTTTCCCCTTTTCCGGCGGGTGCCTTACCTCCCTTGGGCTGGGCCAGCTGGTGGTCGGCCTGCTCTATCTCTGCCGCTTGCCAACTATGCCTCGGCCGACGCAGGGGGCGGAACCACGCATGTGCGGCATTCCCGGGCAGGGAAAGTCCTCGATGTACGACCGGTTGGGTAGTCCTCGACTTATGACCGGTTTAGTCCTCGACTTACGACCGGTTTAGTCCTCAACTTACGACCGGTTGGGGGTCGCGGCATTAAAAAGGTTGAGAACCACTGGTTTTGGCAATCCTAAGCAGCTTTGGTTTCTGAACATAGAAATGATTGTGTTTCTGAACACAGAATGGAACGTTTATTTAGGTTGAGGTACTGTATTGACCCTGTAAGATTTTCCTAATTCTTGTAAGAATCATCAGCAAGAAATATATTGCCTGCTATCAGGCAATATAAAACTAGACAATATATACATAGGTACATCAATTTTTCCCCCTCCAGCAATTGTTATCAAAACTGCTGTTTTCCTGTTGTAGCTGGCACCAAGGAGGTCATTTTGTTGCCTTCCAACTAAGTGTTATCAATTGAACAATGGAGGAAACTGGATAAGCTCTTGGCCGTACAGAGGTTATCTTTGTGCAACATACTAACTCATGATTTAATTGAACCGTGGTTTATCCAACTGCCTTGATTCAGCCACATGGATGAACCCAAGCTATTAGGTTTAGTAAGCCATGCATTTAGAACTGGTTGCAAGGAGGTGATTTATGCTGCCCATTTTCACAATGCATATAGTGCTAAGCAGTATTAGCAGCTTTTGAATGTCTCCCTAGGCCTGGGCCTTATTCTTGAAATCTTTATTGAAGTGCAAATCACTGATTTATACTGTTGGAAATGTTCGTGCTTTAAACACCCATGCATAGTCCTAAAGTCTGGGATAGGAGATGTAAGATTCTGATGGGCTTCAGATAAGTGTATTGAGTCTCTAGAGCAGGGGTGTCAAACTCAATTTCATTGAGGGCCGCATCAGCACTGCAGTTGTCCTTGGGGGGAGGGTAGATGTCGCCAGGGTGGGGACGGCCTACTGGGTGGGCGTGGCTGGAGTGGGTGTGGCCTACTGGGTGGGCATGGCCAGCTCTACATCATTTGTGTCAAGGGGGCCTGTGAGGGCCTGTGCAGGAGTGGGACAGATCTGAGGGTCTCTGGCAGAAGGGGGTGGGACCAGGGCAAGCGCCAAGGCATAGTCCACAGGAAGAGCCTGCTGAAACCCCTCCCCCAGAGCCCATCAAGATGGATATGTGAAGTAGGCAAGGGCCATTTTCTGGCCACTTCCAGGCGATGGTGCATTTCTTCATTCGTCACAAAGGGTGACACCTCCCTA